CCCCCCATTTGGGAGTGTTTCTGTGGTAGTGCTCGGCTGGAGAGCCTGAACGTTAAAGTATTCATACCACCAGAGGGCTTCCCCACTGTCCTACAGGGGTTTGCTTAAAACACCCCAAATGAAAATGGGTTTGCAGCTTTTTCTGTTCTGTTTTTGTTAGCTTGTGGGGGTTTTTTGGTAACAAATTTCTTTCAAGGTGGTTATAGGTGGAAAGCTGCAAGTGGGGGGGTTTGACCTGTTCTCTCCACAGACGTTCAGAAACGTTTTGGACGACGACAGGCATGTTCCCGCAGGAATTCATTATTAGTTTTCCTAAATGTGTAAAAATCAGCAAAGTTGCAATCCAGTGTTACTTGGGTAAGACTTCGTGTGTTGCAGTATGTTATACGTACTATGTTCAAATATGTGTCTGTGGCTGTATGTAAATTCTCACACTTCTCCACATCCAAAGTTTTTCATAAATAAATTAGAAAAAGATGGAAAATCTAGCCTACCTGCACTTATTTTGTTCTTACAACACCTTGTATTGAGCTTACAATTAACTGTTCTGTTGCACAGTGATGGCTGTTCCAATTTAATGGACAGGACTACAATGCTTACTCTTTTAATGATGTATTTTGAGTATTGATATTTATAATTTTGTAAGACAGAATTCTCTTAGTCTTTTTTAAATAATGTGAAGGAAAATACGAGTTCTTAACCAGAAAGGACTGTTACAAGGTCAGAGCATGGAGACGGGAGCTTGATCATTAGCAAAAGCTATGCGTAAGACCTGGAAACTTGTCATTATTTGTCCAACCTGGAGCATCAGAATGGTGGTTGTGTTACAGTTCTGCCCTGTAAATTAGAGGAAGAACGGATTAGTTAATGCTTTTAAAGTGCTTTGTAGATGGAAAGTGATGGAGTAAATATCATTATCAATAAAGAATCAGAATTTGTGTTGATATTTTAAATGTGTTTGCATTTTAGTGCGGACCTTAAAGATTGAAAGAAGTGTCTCCAAAGACCCAGTAGGTTTTGAAGAGTGCATTGAAAAAGGTAAGATTCTGAAGCAGCGGGGGGATTTTGTGGGATAAGGTTGATCTTTTTCAGTGAGTCATTTTAACCCCATGTCTGTTTGTTGAGTAGTGGCTCGATGATTATTTTATTAGACATTAATGTAATAGTCACATTTACTTGAAGTTTATGAACGCAGCTGGTCTCTGTAGCAGTTTGGAGATGTAAAATGCTGTATTAGGGTTGAGAGCACTACTTGTGCACTCGCTTTTATGTTCAAATAATTATAACCAGATTTACATAGTATAATAGAGTGCCATTCCCTGCATTATTTGCTTGGTTTGGGGGGTTTTTTTGGTGTGTTTTTTTTTTTTAATGCCTCTTGGGTGACATTTTATAAAGCAGTGTAATGGGTGGGATATATATACACTGGGATATTGCAGAAAGTATTTGTTCTCTTAAATCACCTTGTAAAAAAAGAAAAAAAGAGAACAATTTCTGTATGCAGTGTAAGTTCATGGTCCTTAAAACTGTCTTGAACTCTGAAGTCCAATGAAAACTTTTCACAGCATTGCACATTATTATTCATTATTTGCTTTAAAATGTTTTCTAGATTTGCAGCACACAGAAGGACAGCTTCAAATGGAAGAATTTCCAGTGAGTATTTACAGCGTACATCAGTAGTGGTTCATGAAATGGGGTGTCTAGACTAACTGGGGAGAAACCACAAAAAACCAAAACGTGTCTTTATTTACAATTATTGTTAAGTTGATGTTAGACACAGGAATTTGTAGATCATGGTATGAAATTGCACTTCCCAACTGCTGCTGTGTAGATTATGGTATGAAATTGCAGCTGCCTACCGCTCCTAACTATGTGAAAGAGCTCTCTCCAGAAGTGTGACAATCTTTCCTCCTTCAATTGTTGCCTTTAAGGCCGCAGTATTGGGAGGGATGGGACATTTTTGAATTGCTGTCCTCTAAAGAAACTCTGAAGCTGGCTAGATGTATTAAAAGAGCTTGATTTATGTGTAATTCGAAAACAGCGCAGAAATATCTAGATCCTTCTGTCTAACGAACTTCTGCAAATGTTGTTTGATCGTTATGTTACTACAGAGACTGCAATAACATTTTTCTTTTTTCCTTCTACAGCTTCCTGATTTCCAAGCCACTTACTTGCGTTTCATCATCAAATCTGCCTTTGATCATTTTGTATCAGTGCACCGGGTGATGGCAGAGGGCACAGAAGAAAACACTTAAGTCCAGCTTAAATTTGTACCATGATTTTTTTTTTATAAAGAAGTTATATTTTGATATCTGTAGTGCAGAGAATATTTATTATTAAAGCCTTGTATTAAAGTGGTTTTTAAAGGTATGGATGCAGTATGTATCCCCCACTGGTTTAATGCATGGAATAGAATAGAATCAAATCATTTAGGTTGGAAAAGACCTTTAAGATCATCGAGTCAAATCGCAATGCAATACTCTTGTTAATTGTAGTAACAGCTTTCTATTCTACAACCTAGACTGTTACCGTAGAACGCTTGGCCATAACTGAGTCCATTTAAATCAGTATGTTTGTATCAGGCTTTCTTAATATATGAATTAAAACTCTATTTCCTGTAAACAGTCTCCCTTGCACTCTGAGTTAAGTAGAAAAAAAGTGGGAAATACTTAAATGGGCGGTATTACTTTCCTACTGCCAAACAAATCCTTCAAAAGTTCTTGAATTGGTAACTTTTCATCAACTCTCAAACTTTTCAAGATTAATAGGATGAATATAAACCTTTAGTAATGCTTAGAAATAACTGGGGGGGTGGGGGGGGACAGGGCAGGGAGGGAAATAATCAGAAGCCATATGAAGTGCTCTGCTAGATTTTTAATAACTGCAGATCAATCCCATGTTTCTATAAATATTTTCTACAATCAGGTCACAGCCAGCTGTGCTTTGGGCTATGACTGTCAAAACAAATATCAATAGAAACAAGTGTTGGTAAGATTGTCTTACTCGGAAGCCTTCTGAAGTCCGTGAAAGTGAACATTTAGGAAAACTGCGTAGTCAAGAGAAAGAGAACAATGTGAGATGGGTTGTTTTTCATGCCAGTCGACTTTTGCAAATGTTGCCACCCCTGAAGTTTATCCTGCACGATATTCCTTATGAATGTAAACTTTGGCATCCCGTCCTGACAGCTCAATGGGCCCAACTACTATTCGTTACTGCATGTGGTATCAGTCTAGTAAGTTACTACAGTGCAGTGGTTGGGGTTGTAGTGATGAGACTTGAAAACCTCTAGACCACCACATAATGAACCATGTTGCATCTTTAGATGCACGTACATTATTCTTGTCTCTGTTGTTATTTTTAAATTCTTCTTTTTTTCCTTACACTTAGGTCTACGAAAACTTTCATTCATTGAGCTTTTTTATGCAGATAGTCTTTACTCTGAAGTCCTCTTATCTTCTTTTTCTATTTCAGTTTTTCCAGGATGGCGCGTATTTCCTGGGGGTGGTAATTCCAGGGCCCCACTCCTCCCTGCAAAGGCAATAAAACAATACAGTCATGCTCAAGGAGACAGAGCAGAAGTCCTTTAGAGCACAGTGGCTGCACCAGAACTGCGGGCAGGTGTGCTTGGGCTTCCCTCTGCATGGCAGCCATCGCGTGGGAGACGGTATATGCACAGGTCACAGGTTACACCCTGCTGTGTAACTGGGACGGGGCCGATGTCTGGATCCTGGAGCTGGAAAGCGTTCCTGGATCTCACAGCTTAGATGTACTTGGGTTTCCTAATGAGCCAGAAGATAAATATTTGAGCAAGGCTGAGGTGTACATCAAATATGTACATTATAAAGGCCCAGACTGGTGTTGCTGCAAGTCCTTTTCTCTCCACAGTTACACTGAATTGTGAAATTTTTAGCCCTCAAACAGAATGAAATATTGTTAAATATAAAGCATTCCCAATTATTTTTAAATTTAAAAATCTCAGTTTATTGTGCTCATTGTTATTGCTGATATGTTTTACCTTGTAGATGACCTTCCCTCCTTGAATTAGATACAGTCGCTCTGGCAATGCAGCGTATTTTGAGCTGCTCAGGTTTTCCATAGTGTCTAAAACCACTGGACATAACGGATTATTTTTCTGAAGAAATTGGGATGCAATTTTTCGATCTTCAAGGCTTCTGTGATTTTTAATAACAATATTGTTTTTAAAAGCCCAGCCATCTAAAACAAATGAGACAGGGATTTAGCAAGGAACACTTTGAACAGGTGTTAAGGCTGGAGATGTACTCTTTGTCACATACGAGAGCTGTGTTTAAGAATTCTGTGATTTACTCCTAACACCAAAACTTGCCATGAAATGAAAATCCCCCGCTCACAGTATGGGAGCACTAGAGCTTTTCAAAGAAATGGTCCCATGATCTAGTGGGTTTTTTTCTTTAATTTCAGCAAACTGCATTTCCCCCTTGCTCTGGATTCAGAAAAGATTCACTGTATTTTAGCGGAAATTTTCCCACATAAACCAACCCTAGAGAGATACCAGGTGGGGACATACATCCTACGTGGGTAAGTTTTGTCAAAATTTTTGGCACAGAGGGGATTTTAAAATGGCAGGTAGTGCTATCAGCTGGTACCCGTTCATGCAGCACAGCCGCAGCAATAGTGCTGTCCGTTCTGATGCTGCTCCTCAAGCCTATTGAACAAAATTTCAGCTCTGTGAGAAGGGAAGCATCTGAGCCAGGGCCCACCTTCCTTCTTCAGAAATACTCAAGCGCACATTTGCACACAACTCCTCCTTAGCAAAGCAGAAACTAGTAAACTGTTTGGATGACTGAGTTATTATCTGTTTCTCAGCTACTGAAGGTGGGATATTGTTTGAAAACTTGAAAACTGTAAATGTTACATTTTAGAAAACCACCTTAACCCTGGGATAAAATCAGTGCCAATGTGTTACTGAGTCCAGTGTAGCTAGAAGAGTGTGTGGAGTTTGTTTGCTAAATTTTTCAAATTAAAGTCTGCATCCTGTTCTTGAGACATGTTAAAAATGATAATTTTTTTAAAAACACGTAACGTGCTGCCATTTACACTTAACTTTTGTTCTATGAAATGCTTTTTTTTTTCCCTTTCCGAAAGGAGCTGTATTAACACTGACGGGAATTTTTGTAAAGACCTAACTGTGTGCTTCACCTTCACAGAGATGTGTCCTCAGCAGGAGTACCTCTCTCTAAAGTCAGATGCGTGAGTAAAACCTTTGACAAATTAAGGACACAAACTGGTGCCTAGATCTAGTGTGGCCACTTTTGATTTGAGGAAGATTTCTTTCCCGTTTGCAGTTCCCTCTTTTGCTAACAGACTTTCCTTCCTAAAAGGAACGATGGGTGTCTGAAGTTTCGGTAGGCATTACTGTGATGATACTGTACCTACTGCATGAGCTTCTTCGATGTAGATGATAAGAAAATCTGCTATAGAGCTGAAATCTTTGATGAGTTTGTTGAACTCATCAAATTTTAACATAAAAGAAGGTCAGGTGCAACTTCCAAAATTCAGGATTAAAGGTCGGTTACCTGGAACAAAAGAGGACAGCTTGTGGTTACATCACTGCTGGGAGGAAGGACAGAATTAATGCACTGAATTGAGTCTCTGCCGCAGAGTTTTTTGGGCATCAATGGGTAAGTCACCCCATAACTTTCTTCTTAGGACATTAAAATCGGCAGCAGAACACCTGCATTTATGCAAAACAGGCACAAAGATGCTTTTATTCCCCTAGCCTGGCTCTGACCTGTGCCGGACCCAGCAGTGAGCTTAACAGAGGGGGGACCCTTCCCTTCGTAGAGCCTGGGGGAGGCAGGAGGCACCGTGCAGTCACCCGGCTTCTCTTGCGTCGTCATCACGGGAGCCAGTTCTCAAGTTATCCCCATTTTGGGTTAGGGGACTGGTCTGAAATGGATATACAGAACGTAGCACATCACAGCCTCAGGAACTTCAAAATACTAAACGTGATCATCTGCCAGCCTTCTCAGAGGACCTTCTAATGACCCTGTTGGCCATGCCTTGATTTTTTTCAGGGGTGTCTGCTCCATCTGAGCTGAGTGGAAGCTGCGGACTCTTCAGTCATGCACCACGGGCTTTCATGCTTTCAATGTATTTCTGCAATTTCCTGTCCAAACAGAACTCTGGTTATTTATTATTATGTATTAAACTGATGTTACACCAGCCACTGGGAAAAGTGTCTGCGCAGTTGCTTACAAATTAACACAGTATGTGCCCAGAGGTGTTAGCATTGGTTTGCAAGGCCTCAATTTAAGGGAACTTGCAGGATTTTTAAGCACCTCTTTTAGTCCCTGGTTATGCTAAATTATCTGAAATTTGTTCAAGATCTTTCTTCTGGCTGGGCTGAACTTCAAAAACTGCTGCTGACGTAGATACACATCCTAAAGAATCTAAGAAAGGGGGTGCCTTCCTGTAGATACTATATATCTCTCTTCTAAATTTGCATCCTATTTTCTACATAAATATATATATCTCTATATATAATTAGAAAAGCAGAGTTGGAGGGGGATGTAATCCCTCCCATGGGCATCGAGACCGCAGCTTAATGATTAATTCCACATTCTACAGAGATCTCAGTGGAAGGCAGCGTACAAAGTACAAAGTAGTTCTGCTTTATTTCTAGCCGCTTTGAATCTGGAAAAAACCACCGTGTGCTTTCTAGGCTTCAGGCTGGCTAAGGGAGCTGGCATGGGACTCTGTACGTACAGGGAATGAGAGCCAACACCCGTGAATCACTGCACACGGTTCTGGTTCTGGGTCTTCTCTCCCCCCCCAAAAAAATAGTTTTGCTGTTCAGTGAAGAGGCAGCTTTTGTAAGAGGTTTGTAAGCTTACTGGTGCGAAGGGATATTGTAGCCAGGATGATAAATACAGGTTATTTATGAAGATCCAGAGGCAGACAGCTGGAGAGAACGTGTCACATCTTTCCCATCAAGGTGAGTGCGGTTAGTCTGGTCCGCTATGTTGTGCACTCCCATGCCAGCTGTCCCTACGCCCTCAGCAGCCTCTTCTCCTTGTTTCTCATCTTGGCAAGCCAAACCCGTCTACACGGCTCATGTACTGACCTTGCATGAAATCAAAGAGGTGACGAACTTCCCCATTCAAAGTCACCACCGGTGTGTTGGGAGCAGGGTGTCCCTCATAGGCTTCATCCTCCAGCCTCTTCCACTTCACCTTCAGCACAAAGAGCAAATACTTGAAGCTGAAAAAAGTTGGACCCCAGTTTTCATAGCTGAACTTTGGATTCTCATTCATTCTGCTCTTTTCACCCTGTTTTAGGATGTATCTCTTCATGGCATTGGGGAACAGGATCATCAGCGTTTTGCCCACAACAACGCATGCAGTAACGTGTAGAAGAATCAGGATTTTTTGTAGAACCCTAATGCCCAACATCGTGACGGAGGAGCTCTCACCGCTTCTGACAGGAACGCAGTGCGACGGCAGGGGCAAAGGTAGGGGGTGAGGGGGAGGAAAAATGTTCACGTGTCTGACCAGACTTTCTGCCTTGCCTTGCACACCATCACCTCTCCGTGGACTTCAGTGTCTGCGTGAGCGAGGAGCCTGTCTGCCCTGCCATCGGCACTAAGGGCGTTAATGACAGCGGCAGATTGATTAACTGACCAGGTACAAGGCTCATTCACAAATACGTTGTGCATTTTACTAATGAGAGGAGCTGAACCAGGGTGTTTTCCGTCAGCTACAGACTAGAAGTAAGAATTAGGCAGCAGTACCCGAGGGTCTGATCCTTCACCCAGTGACGCCTTTACGCCCTTTCCACACGTTTTTGCACCAGACCATTGATGCCAATGCTCGGGGCCTTGGATTGATGCAGCCACTTGCATTTCGCGTGTGCTGTGTGTGCAAACAGCGTCCTGTTCCTGCGGCTGTGCCTCCTCTGGTCCCCTGCCGCACCCCGCTGTTTGCCACTGCGGGGCGGGAAGGGTGCCCCAAAACAGGTACACCCCAGTAGATATACACATTATCAAAATATGCCATAGACATTTATAATAGAATATATCGGCATATAGCCACATATATAATCCGTGTGCGTGTGTGTATGTGATATCAGACAGAGCAGCCGCTGCCCCGTTCCCTAAGACGCACCCCTTAGCGCTCGGGGCGCCGGGGCGGCGCAGACTCCCCCGGGAGCCGCGGGCTCTTTAAGGGGACGGGCGGAGACGGAAGAGGAAGCGCCGCGCGGCCTCTGATTGGCCA